AAGAAGAAAAACAAGTGAAAAATAATCATTTTTATTATTATTATTATTATTTTGTTTATTTCCCCAATTAAGCCATTTTATTAAGGAATTTTAGAGGGTGGCATATATTAATTAAATATAATGCATCTGTATCTAGTTTTCATTGTGTTCTACTTCCTAACTACTTTATATTTTATAGGGTTATATATTTTAATTAATGAAGCTCACAAAATTAGTAAACCCAAATTGAAGTGTTTATGAAGTTTCATCGTACAATTAATTACTTTCCTCTCACTCTAATCAAATGAATATCAACAATTTATGTACTTTAATATTATTTACATATTGATTACCTATAACGTTAATAACACAATTTAAATGTGTTCTTGATAAGACTTATGTAGGGGAAACTAAGATTCGAATTATCTTGTTGATCAAATATCTGAAGGCAAGAACACTTGTTTGAGATTTAAAATCGATTATGTGAAGCTTCAACAATTCCAAACATCCAACCTCAACTATGAATTGCAAAAAAAAAAAAAAAAATTAGTCCATCGCTCAAAAAAAGCAAAAATATTTTCATTACCCATATCTAAATGTAACCGTAAAATAAATAAAAAGTCTCAAAATACATTAACTAAATACCATATCTCTAAATTATCATTACCCAATATCTTGTGATAATTCGACGAACATTTTCTTCTCATTTTCCTTGAATTTTATATTGGATGATTGATGTCTTGATCATATCGTTCTACTTTGTTTTTTATATTTATAATACTTTTGCAAAATTTTATTTTAACTACGATAGATTTATAGCAACTCTTTCAATTAGAGGTATTCATATGCTTCAATAATTCGAATTACCCAACTCACATCATAAAAGTTGAGTTGAGTTAGTTAGATTTTTCGACCTCGAATTGTAAAATTTTTAGAAAATCGAAAATTGGATTTGGTTTGCAGGTAGACATTTGTTTTGTTGGGTCAATCTAACCTACCGGAAAATAGAGTTACAACTAAATCCTGCCCTACTCTTAAAAACCTAGACGATAAACCCTAAAAAAAAAGAACAGTCCAACAACTCAACCCAATCCAACCTTGAAAAAGAGAGGCTTTTAATTAGGTTGGGTGGTAAACTCTATTCAGGCTGCTTGGGTCACAAACTCAACCAACATGAAATTTCAAGTTGATTCATACACCACCTTACTTCCGATCGTTTTCTAATTCTTTTTGGGAGATTTTTGTGTTTGTTGCTTGTCTCTCAAAACCAGTTTCCAAATGGAAATATTGTTGGAAAATAGCAATGACATGCATGTTTAAGTTAGCTTAGAAACGAAAATAATAAAATTTGAAGCAACAAGAACCCTTCACCTATCTTTCTACAAACATTTGTCTGTTGTTGCTTTCCCTTTGAGAAAACACCTCTAATCCACCTCAAAATATAATATACTTTCCTTTCTTCTCCTTCAACCAACACCCAATTTCCACTTTCTCCCTCATTTTTACCCTTACTCTAAATATACCTTTCTCCTCTCTTTTCACACCACCCTAACCTAATGCATAAAAACACCCATAATTACCGTTTTACCGTTCTAAAGTTCGATAGTTTGAATGTGTCGTACGCATGACTACAGCATACTAATTGATCATGGCAAAAACATATCAAGATTGAATAACAAACAACTTTTCTTCCCGTTGATCTATCTGTTTCACTTATTTAATTGATTAAGAGAGAAAGTTGTGGAATTCTTTTAGAAATTAGATGCACGAACTAGAAATTTTGTAAAAAAGAGAAAAAGTAGGGGCGGGAGGAATGAAATATTTCATTGAACATGGAGCTATTTATTGTACTTTGGTTCTATACCAAGTGTATACATGAAATTCACTCTATATTAATTGCACATTAATTAAAAAAAACATCTTATCTTCAATTACGGTGGGGAGACTAATGTGGTCCTGTTGGGCTTGTATGTTATTGGGGCATAATTAAATAGAAAAATAATGAAGGGTTGGAGAAATTATTCAAAATTATTCCGTCAAATTATAATAAGTTCATTAAATTTAATGGGTCAATCCTGGAGTTCATAATATTATTGGACCATACATATGAGGAATTCATTAACCAACCAAAGGATCATAAATCTCCTTGCTTAGTAGTGCTTGGATTGATAGCTAATTCATCAACAACATGGCTCAGGCCTATGTGTTTGATATTACAAAAGTCCTGATAGGGATGAGGAGCGCCCAAGTTGGGTATCTATTTAATGCCCAAAATTGAATAGGGAAGATAATGTGAAATTAAATGTGGGTCTCTGGCGTGGAGGGGCCCTATGAGTGGGCTGTCTTTGTCGAGAACATAAAATGTGGGCCGATAATTAGGGTTCTTGAGGCCCATGATAATGATGACTCAATTTTGAAACCACCTCAATGCTTTATTTGTCTCTTGTGCGTCCATTAATGGCATACGTCCAAATTTTGATATGTTTATCTTTCTTAATTAAGGAGGGCTGCCGTCCCTCCGGGTTGAGCTTACCTTATTTTGCGGCTTTTAAGGACATGGGCATGTGGCCTCACTTAAAACAATGCCCTCTTGCCTCTTATAAACAAGACTTTTGAGGCATTTAAATGGGTTGAACATGCATGGTTTGTGAGCCCAATTAACTCGCTTATGCTACATATTAGAACGGGTGTGGCGTTCAATGGGACTCTATTCACCTAGGTGTTAATTTATAAACATAGGGTATGTGGGATTCCATCGAATATGGTGATAACGTTGAGGAGCATAAAGAAATGATAGTTCTTACTGTCATCTACCATCCAGTGGATCAGGAGAAGAAGAAACTGAAAAATAGAGATAAGAAGAAACTAAATGCTACTTCAGTTAGTGAAGAGCAAATTGCAAGTCGTTTTGATGACCTAGAGATTAAGGTTTGTGGCGATCTAGAGGATGATGATTAATACAATATTCAAGCTTTGTGGTGATCTAGAGGATGGCGATGGTAGAATTTATGAAAGTGACATTCAATAGGTTTCATCATCCACCATTTTCTTAAGCGAATGGAGGTAATATAATTATGAACCAAAAATTATCATGGTTGCTAGCACTCGAGGGACCCCGAGGGTATGGACAATGACATCAGTCTAAACTTACCACAGTTTTTGTTTGTAACTGTTCTAAAGAATAGGGCATCGCCTGAAGTAGCCACATCCCTGGACTTAAGACACTTTGTTACCTATGTATGTGAGCCAATTTGGGCTTTCGAACGACGTTCTCAAGTTCATGAAAGGACCAACTCCCTTATCAAACATGAGTCTATTGTTATTTCAGCTCATCTGTTTGTAACTGTTCTAAAGTAGCCACATTTCTGGACTTAAAGACACTTTGTTACCTATGTATGTGAGCCAATTTGGGCTTTCGACCGGTATCCTCAAGTTCATGAAAGGACCAACTCCCTTACCAAACATGAGTCTATTGTTGTTTCAGCTCATCCACGTGCCTTTTCCTATCACAAGATGGGTATCCCACTCACCAAAAGAGGTTTGATGCAAATATGGTGCTTAGTGCATGACAATAAAATCAATGAAGTATAACCGAGAAAAAAATGTTGGGGCTTCAACAGCCTTATCATCTCAACCAATAAAGCTTAGAGGAAGGTTCAAAGCATAAGAAAAATGGGACATCGAACCTACCATGGGTTAGGCCTAAAGAAAGCCTACAAAGAAACAATCAACCCAACGATAATAACATAGGTGACAATTACCAACTTGTTCAAGCTCAATCTATTGACGGTGTCCCCAAAAATTCTCAAGAACATATATTTCTAGAAAGCAGGGTTGAATATATAGAGAAATACACTACAAGAAGTTTCGACATGCAAGTATGATGATTAAGTTCTTGCACAGAAGATAGGAGGATAAAAAATTGCATGATGTGGAATTGAAATTTCTTAGGAAGAAAACGGAGTTTATCAGGGACCAAGTGAAATTGACATTGGAGAGCAACGAAAGAATATTCTCAACAAACGCCTAGCAAGGGTCAAACTTGCAGAGATGCGGGAGTTGCTCGAAGTGAATAATCTCAAGCAAAGCAAAGTTTACAGAGAAGATTGTGCGTCAGTAAGCTTGTCTTGATTTAATTTGTCCAACAAATTTATGAGATTTAACTTTTGGAACAAATTTGGGAGTTTGTGGAATAAGTTTATTAAATTTATGAGATAATATCACGTGTAACATGTTTCAAATCTAGGAGATATTGTCTAGATATTTTGAAAGTGTAAGAGATAAGAAATACGATTACAAATGTGTAGTTCACATTGTCTAGTCTCTTCCATAAATACCCCTCCACCCCCACTAATCTCTTCTTGATCCGTCTTAATAATGAGTATGAATGTTTCCCAACAATCTACAAATTCTCCCTCGTACTATTATTTCTGTTTCGATTATTCATTTCGATGTACATCGATCAAGGGTCAAAATCAACATGACCAAAGAAGCTCTCTAGGGGACTAGCAATGTGAATGGTGTCATCCTAGTCTCCATCACCTTATCCACCCTAGCACTCCAATGGCGTTATCAACAACCTAGGTCAAATTTAACAGCGCCGCTCTACCAAGTGGAAGGTCCAGAGAAGTAGTATTTTCGAGCTAGGTGTAGGCCAATTAGAGTAGAACATTAAGAAGACTATATGTCATTATCGTGTGTGGAAATGGCCAAAGGTCTCCTAGATAGGGCCTTAGTATTGTACACCCGTCTGGAGAGGGGTGAGGAACCACATGAGTAGACGTAGTAGTTGGCAAGCACATGTGGGGTCGCTCTCCCCAGATTCTGACTCTATAGCCGTGTGGAAGAGTTGACAACTAACCTTCTACTATTAAGATGATGTTAAGTCTACTAGATATCATACTCGGATAGAAAAGATCCCATTATGTTTCTTTATTAATTAAAATATTTTTATGTAAAAATATTTATTTACGAAAATATTTTTAAATTCAGCGATCTACAAAAAGAAGAAGGCATTAAAAGTAAGTAAGATGAAAATTGAAAGCAGCATTTATTGAAACGACGTCACATTAACCTTATGTCCTCACCTTTCACTACGGGGGGGGGGGGGGGAAAAAAAAAAAA